GGGGGGGGCTGTGGCCCCCCGGCCCCCCCTGCCAGCACGCCACTGCTTGGAATTAGTAATATTACAAAGTTTGGTTGCGAAATGTAATGTAAAATACGGAAAATATAGCCCTTCAAAGTTGGCAAATTTGTATACTTTTGTATTATGCGCGCGAATTGGTAACTAAATTAGTTACCAATTTCCGCACGTAATAGAAATGTATACAAATTTGCCAACTTCGCAGGGCTATATTTTCCGTATTTTACAACATTTTGCAACCAAGCTTTGCAGTTTTTCTAATTTTGATAACTTCTTTCCGAAAATATCCTTTGTTATTCCCTGATTAAAAATTTCGTCGCAAGTCGTCCATTCAAAATAATTTTAATTAGACTCTTTTGTCTGGAACACCAACATGGCCGCCATGGCTTTTGTTGAGTTGGTCCCTGGGGAATGAGTACAAACGCTCTATAGCTTAACGCGCTCTACTCCTCTATTTTGTTCTGCTGAATGCCAGAGGGGAGATTCTCCCGCTGGCGCTCAATGGAATTTATCACTTTGTATTTTTATACATGAACTTTTCTAGGGAGACTAATTCTAGCCCGTTGATTGACTTTGGTGAAAACAACGGAAATGAGACCTCCTCGACTCAAGAGATGGATGAACGAATTGCGAGACAGTTTGGAGGAATGGGTACGAGTATTTTTATGACGCGATTCTAGCTGTCATTCACGCGATTCTATCATTTTTATCATCAAGTTGTGTCCTTTTTATGACGTTTTCGTATTTTTCAGCTGTTACTCAATCAAACTCGATCAATAATGATGACGAATTCGACATGTTTGCTCAGACGCGACAGAATACGTTTGAGGACAGCAGAAAAACGTAGGTTTTTTCAGTATTATAGGTTTAAACTAAGACTAAGTATACTGGGTATGTCTTAGTGTCATGAATGTAAGTAGTGATAGACCCCACTTTGGAGTTCAAAGGGATGCCGCCAATGACGACACAATACAGTAGCGCGACCAAGTATCGTCACCGAGTAGCGTCACAATGACGTCACTCAAGGCACTCCATCGTATGTCTTTCACAGCGAAATGATTCTCGAACGAATTTATACACATATATAACAAACGTCGTCTTTTGTAATGAAAATGCTGAGCTCAGCTTGATGACAGTTTCGGCCTTGTATTGTGACGTCATTGGCGGCATCCTTTTGAACTCCAGAGTGGGTCTATCACAACTAATGTACTTATTTCTGTACTTGCAGAGGTTCCACGTATGAAGATAACTCATCCTCGTTACCAGACCGTACACTAGCAAGCGCTTTATACGACCAACCCTCTGGGACAGTGGTAAAACAGCTTTCAGTAGGGAGTTTAAGCTTGGCGTTTCCGGGAACTGCAAACGGCAGTTTCGAACTTTCTTCGCAAAATTTTCGTTAAACGTTTAAGTTTCATATTTTCTTTCTTGTGTCAAAAGAATAGTCAATGCATTCCAGTTCTAAAACAGCAAGTTCATTTATCCTTTATTTCCTGATACCGTAAAATTTTTCTTTGCCTGGCGTTTGCCGTTTGCCGTAGGTAACACGAAGCTTAAACTCTCTAGTATCTTATCCAATATATTTGTAGTTTGTTTTGTTCAACGCTGTTTTATCCACTATTTGTAAATCGTGTTCACATTTTTTCACTTTTAGGGCAACGAAGCAAGGTATGTTAGTTTGTTTTCGTATTCTTTGTTCAATGGCTGTAATATCATTCCAACCTCGTACCCAGGATCTTCTGTCTGCCTGCATTCATGATATTTCGTAGCATTGTGAAATTTGTCTTGTTATTTGTTTAGTCCAATCGAAGGTGTTGAAGACTGGCTAACAAACTCGGACTTGGTACGATATATCTGACATGATATCTGTTCGACAGACATAAATTTTATTCCCATTCTAGCCACGTCTTTTTCTATTTCTTTGCAATTCTTTGATTTCCTATTTGGCGATAGGTTTTCAACATTTTTTTCTTCTTTTTGACAGCCTTCCCAACAACCAGCGACAGAACAAACCTCCATGACAAGTTCAGGTGAGACTTATATATATGAGGCCGAGAGTGTCTTAAATCTGATAAAGCATGGTCTGTGAGTGTTTTAAGTGGCTTACAGTCGATTTCAGCTGACTTTTCATCGTAAGATTCCGAATTTCGCAAATTCGTTGCCAAGTTCAAAAGTTCATAATGAAATTCACAAACAGGTTTGTAAACTGGGCATTTGATTGGCTGGTTTGATTTAATAGCCAATCAGAGGCTTTGTTTACAAACCTGTTTGTGAATTTCATTATGAACTTTTGAACTTGGCAACAAATTTGCGAAGTTCGGAACGAAGTTCGGAATCTTACGATGAAAAGTCAGCTGAAATTGACTGTAAAAACGACGCATCTTATGAGTTCATTGACACTAACGTAATAATGTAATTTTAAAAGTCAACGTTGTCTAAGCCGAGAAAATCAAAGCTTTTATGTACTGTTTAATAAACGAGCAGGAGTGTTTTATTAGGTTTAAAGCAAAACACTCCTGCTCGTTTATTAAACAGTACATAAAAACCACCGACACGGTAGTGATTTCCTTTGCCTTTTCCTCGTGAATTATTAATGAGTTTTTAAATTTTTTATAGAATTCGATGAGTTTCTTCAGCAGCGAGCGGTGTCTGGTGGCACACGATCAAGTACTAAGAACAAACCTGGTCAACGACAAATGAAAAAAGACGTCGACGATTCGGAAGAGATGTTCGGATTATAATGTTTAGATATCGACGATGATATTACAAATATAATCAATCGATAATTGTAATGCCTATTTAGGTTATGGCACTAAGATATTCTCTTATCACAATATTGCAAGAATTCGTACAGAGACTCGCTTTTTAATATATAAGTGGGCTCAGCACTATCTATCGGGCCAAGGAGCCTCGTTCTCATGAATTACTTAGCCAATCGATCGTCTTTATTGATGAGAGCGAGGCCCTATGTCAAATAAGCATTCATGACTTCTCGAAAGAATGTTTTGGGAACGGGCATATTCAGCATTTTTTATCCAGCACTTCAGGATATTTTCAACTATCCGGTATCTGGCCAGATAGCAAATAAATAGCTCTATTCGGTTCACTGTTGCCAGATATTTATCTCAAACCTATACCCGAATCGTCTAAATACAAATTGTCTTTTTTTTAATGGTTGGCGTCATCACTCTCTGCGCACCTGTAAACGCAACGCGAATACTTCATATAAACCTTTAGTATAGCACCTGGGGACGATGCAGATCATTTAACAGTTTCATGGCATGCTTTTTTCCCAGTGTAAAATGCGCGCGCATTGTCAAGGTTTTCCTGTCCCATAATAATGGGACCAAATGTGAAACTATAAATAGAGTGGCTTCCGTGGTGTGTTTCCTGTTGCGCATGCACGCGCGTTATCATTTGGAATATTTTGTTGTTTATACTTTTTGCAGGCCCCCAACGGGGACTACATATGTACATGGCAAAATTATCATAGCTGAAGCTTTCCCGGTCATAATATACTAACGCTTATCAGTTTATTTTTAAAATATTTAATGAATGTCGTGGTCAAATAGCAATTCTGTCGGCGATTTTGTTTGTGGCAAATGTGATCGACCGAATGACATGCAAAAGGCTAAGAATTGTTACAGTGTGTGAACCAGGTTTATTATAAAGGATTTTTGGGAAATCATTGGCAGAAGCATCACTTTCCAGAGTTGTAGTGGAAGTATCGTATTTCAAGTTGAGAAGAGTAAGTACCAGTTGAAGTAACCAATCAGGGTCGAGTATTTTAAAGTGGCGTTTTGTTTTGAACAGTAATGGCGGACGTTAGAGGAGTTATGAATCTGGTCATTTTTTGCGAAAAGTATTAGTAAAGACTCCTTTTTTAAGCACGATAAATCATGGACAGTCAGGAAAATGAAGCCAGCGACCAAGGTTATTTGAAAATTGCCAATTTGTGTGGTTGTTTCGAAGAAGAATATTAGTTTTTACGTAAATTTATGTGTATATTTTTACAGGTTTTGTTTTTATTGCAAACGAAATTCTTCGCAAGTGCAAGATAAATGGCGAAGTGCAGTCTTTAAAGGAGTGCTCGGATTCTTTCTTTCTTGCTGTATATGAAGGAATACTTGGTGAAGCTTTAGTTGGTGTGTATAAATAATAATATCAAATATTCAAATCAGAGATCAGTTTATAATTATTTGGCAATATCATGGCAATATTTATATAATATAATATAAGTTTTGGTTTGTAAACATTATAATATTTGTGTTGTTTCCACAAACCAAAATAAAATGGCTTGTTTCCAAATAATTTAATTTAGAAAATATTCCATTTTTTCTATGTTTATACTTGAACAACATAATTTAAGGTTGTTCTATTATTATTCATTGCTTAAGGTACTATAACCAATGCAGTATCCCATGAACAAAGGATATCAAATTGTGAAAAAGTCATTGATGCCTTGTCACACGATGTTTTGAATGTCGATCTGTCGCACATCACAGCAGAGAGTATTGTGGATGGCGATATTACCACGATTCAAAATCTTTTGGAAATATTTAAAGAACTGTTAGATTTCATTCTCGATGTTGATGATGAGTTTGACCTCGAAGATGCTGGTATGTTTGCAACCTCGTACCCAGGGTTTTGAGCGGAGATAAAACCCTGGGTACGAGGTTGGTATGTTTGATGGTTAAAGATGGGTTCAAGATTGGTTCAAGAGTTAGTCCTGCCCCTGGAATGTTTAGTGTTGAATTTGATGATAAATGGGACCCCCTTTCTTGCATTTTTAAATTTGCGTTAATAATTCTAGATGAGCAGAATGACTCAAATCTGCTGTCCTCAGATCACAAAGTCATTTCTGATGTCTTACACGAGGAACTTGGTCCTGGGCATCATGATGTCAGATTCCCTCCAAACTTGAGAAACAGTGGCAGAATGTCGTCAGACTGTTCCACAATTGGTGAACCAGAACTCTCTTCCGTATGTTTTTTGTGCTTTCAATTATAGCTTTAAGCTCAGTCATGATGTTTAGTAAGTTTTATGAAAAACATTTTATCATTGTTTGAAACTTGTTTTTTAGATTCCTAAATGTAGTGACATTCCTAGTTCAAGAAACTCTGATGTTGACAGTAATTCGACTGATGAAATTATCAGAGAAAGCGAATTACTAGAACGTCAATTGTCCAGGTAGACTTCCAGATTCTGATGCTTTTTCCACCTACATATCCGGACTTGTAATAATCAGGAATTCGATCTTTTTATTTTTAGGGATTATCCGTCATTGCAGCAGCTAAGAGATCAGAGAGAACCAGGGCATCATGCTACAAATAGAGCTTGGGAACCGGAGAAAGATTTAGGATTAAGTAAAGACAAACTATCAAAAGCCAGAAATGAAACACCATCTTTGAATGTACCAGTGGGTAGTGGGTTAGGTGGTTTGAACAGTGGTAGGGAGTTAGGTGTAGGGAAAAAATTTGACCAAGAAACAGGAAAAATGAGTCAGAAACTTGGTGCAGTGGATGGGATCCGGAAAGGTCAGAAAAATGATGCTGTTTTTGAGTACAGAGGAAATTTGGGTAGATCTGATGGTATATCAGAAGCAGTAGACAATGGACCCAACAGAAACGCCTGTACAATTAGGGGTACTTCAAGACCCAAAACGGGAAGAACATTAGATCATAAAGGTACTTTGAGGGATATTAATGTACATGGAAGATCTGAGGGCATATCAGAGGTAGCAGACAATGTACCCAGATTTGGTGGTGTAATTAGGAATGGTCAAAGTACTGGTGCAACTAGAAATATTGATGTGACTCAAACTGGTAATTCAAATGGAGCAGACAACGTACATGTGTTGAATAATTCAATCAGAAAACCTGTTGCAATTCCAACTGGATCAGCAGGGATCTCTCGTGTGGATATAGCAAGGGATTCTGATGGATTTGCTTTGGGTGGCGGAGGAATGAATGGCGTCAGGCCAACAGTAGACGAAGGACGATATCGTGATTATCTAAGGGAGAGCGAAAGCAATCGACAGAAATCAACACTGGTTGGTGAAAAACATAAACCTTGTTTAGTAGAACACGATGATAGTGGACATAAACCTCTGATGAACAGTAGGCCAGACACAGCCAGCAGAAAGAAGAACACGCAAGATACAGTTATGAATCGTGAAGGGTTGTCAACAGATACACAAGCAACTAAGAGTCATCATGGCTTAGTCAGGAAGTCTGGCTTTGAACCTCAAGAAGGAAATTTCCCGAAATCAGGGAAAGGTTTGAGGGCTAATGAGGCTAAAAAGATCAGCAGTAATGCTGGAGGTTTAAATCTAAGTAAGGTAGCAACAAGATCTAAACAAAGTTCTAGACTCGTTGGGGAAGATCAAGATTATAGAGAGAGTAACACCAGGAGTGAAGACAAGAAAATCAAGAAGTCCGTCCTGGCAAAATCACGATTGGGGGTTGGTCGGGTGAATAGAGGTGGAAGAGGATCGCCTAAGGATATTAATGGTCATGATGGTGGTAAGAAGGGTAAAAAAAACAAGAGACCCCGAGGGGTAGTGGGAAATCGGAGAGGATCGAGGGGAGAGGATACGATGAAGGGCAAGGAAGTAGGAAGGAAGAAGGGTGCTAATGTACAATCTGGGAAAGCAGGGGATAGTGATTCTTCTGTGCAAAAAAGGACGGAAGCTACCGAGGCAAGTCAAATCAATCTCAATTTCTCCAGGGTTTCACTCTCGTGCAGCAGATGGTGGTCAACCTGCAGTTATCAGAGAGAGAAAATAATGCGAATTTCTTTCATTAGATGTAGTGGTCTTGGTGGCAAATAAATGCAATGCATGATTCCAGCTATAGACGAAATTTTGAGCTGAAAAATAACCATTTTTGAGTTATTTTTACCGCGCGTAATACAAATATATACAAAATTTGCGAACTTCGCAGAGTTATATTTTCTTCATTTTACAACATTTAGCAACCAATCTTTGCAGTTTTACTCATTCTAAGACGCTCTTTCTAGCTGTGGTGTTGGATTTCGTTCTTCTTGCATTGATGAAAATTTAGTCTATACCTGGAATCACCCAATGAGAGATGTAGGTTCATTTCCTTGCTCCTAAAAACCAACATCTGCTGTAACGCTTACCGAAGAACACCAATTATATTCATTATTTTGCATCGTAGGCGACGAAGGAACATACGGACGGTTCAGAATCATCGGGGGTTTTCTGGGATGATCAGATATCACCTTTGGATGTCTCGGAGAGGTTACGCAATCCTAGCCAAGGTCTTGCATTTGACGAGGTCGGCCTTGCCAAGAAGTCGCGCGAGTACGAAGCACGTCAAGGACTGGGGAAGAGTAAGGATTCACGTGATTCGCCTGTGATACGTCACTACCATCATCATTTTCACCATGAAAGTTCTGAAGACCTGGTACGTGATGTAGACATGAGTGAGAGGACTCGACAGATCGCTGGAACGAAGAATCTACCAGGACTGGGTTCTAGTTTTAACAGAAGCGGTAAGAATGAGAAATCTTATTGGACCTCTAGGGAGAACAGTTTAGAACTGAAAGAGCTACTCAGTATAAATAAAGTTAGTTTAGTTTAGGTTTTATCCTGTAGTAACACTGGATCAATAAGGGACGATTAGTACTGGACCTCTAGGGAGAACAGTTTAGAACTGATAGAACTATACAGTATAAATAAAGTTGGTTTAGTTTAGGTTTTTTCCTGTAGTAACACTGCACCAACAAGGCATGTGTCTTACTGGATGTCTAAAGAGGACGGTTTAGAAATGATAGAGTTACCCGCATTAGCTCAGGCCAACTGCAAGCATATTACTCAACACACTTCCATCCACAATTTACAACGTTGAATTAATTTAGATCGCAGAGACCTTAACGAAGAATCAAGCCATGTCCCCAGGAAAGAAAGAATGGTGAAAAAAGACGAGCCCAAAAAACGTTCAGTAAAGTTTGACGATCATGTATCGACCTTACTCATCACAAACAGACTGGAGCGATTAAGACGCGATATGGATTCAGAGGATGATAAAGAAATTGAAAGAAGATCGCAAATCAGGAGTGATTATAGTGGATATTTAGAACGACTGAATAAAGAACATAAACGGATGGAAAAAGAATTAAAACAAAGACCGAAGGTAAGATGGGTTCTTTCTATGAGCAGAATCAGTTATCTTGAAGGTGTGTGGAAGTCTAATAGCAGGGGTCGTTAAGCCTGCGACCACACAAATTATTTGAAAATGTGCCTGCAAAATGTCTTCATTCAAGATACGAAATCACGACGTGATGAGCCATCAGGCATTAATTACTATAGATCCCAATGGACCATTTGCATTATAGACTAAATATTGATCTCAACAAGTCTAGACAAAAATTTTATCACAGCTTCAAAGAGCATCACAAAATTAGTAATATTCCGAAGTTTCGTTGCGAAATGTTGTAAAATGCGGATAATATAGCCTTGCGAAGTTTGCCGTTTTTCAGTCATTTTGTATTACAAACGGGAAATTGACAGCCCCAAAGGGTATTGGGCTGTCAATTTCTCCTGCGTAATGCAAATTGACTGAAAAACGGCAAACTTCGCAAGGCTATATTATCCGCATTTTACAACATTTCGCAACGAAACTTTGCAATATTACTAATTTTGTGATGCTCTTTCAAGCTGTGATAAAATTTTTGTCAAGACTTGTTTAGATCAAAATTAAGTCTATAATGCAAATGGTCCATTAGTAGGCTGACTTATGAGTCAGTGTGGCCTTATATATTTTTTCCCAATAAACATTAACTGCAATCAAATAGTAACAGATAGTAAAATAAGTGATGGGAGGGGTGGGGGGGGGAGCAAAGATAAAAATCGCGCAGGGGAAACAGAAAGAAAAAAATTCGTACACCAAAAAAGTTTGAAAAAAAATTCGTGCAGAAACTTTTCAATAGGGAAAATTATAAGGTGAAATAAAAAAAAATTGGACAAGGGATTCTATTTAAAAAGAAATTATCGACACAAGCAAAAAATTTAAAAAATATATTCGTACAAGTTGAAAAAATCTCCCCCCCCCCCTTATCACTTTTCTAATGGTCCGCCCCTATGTTGTAATTTTTTGTATATTTGTATTAATGTATTCAGTTGAACCACATATAGGCGATACATTAGCAGTCATAACTTTTTAACAGAAAACAAAACGAGCCAGTCCTTACAAGAAGAAGTACAGTGTGTCTGCGGCCTCACGTGACCGTGCTCGGACAAATCAGAGGAAAGCAAGATATCCAAGTACTAAAGCAAGAAAACGAAGTTCCTCGACTAGTCCCAAGATTCGCGTCAACAAAAGGAAAGCAGGTAGGAACTGATAGAGCTATCCAGTGTAGATGAAGTCGGCTAGTGTCGAGTATAGATGCTTGTGATGTTACTCTAAAGTAACATCACAAGCATCATATTCACCTGAGTACATTACACCAACTCGCCAAGTCACCAACACAGAAAAAATAGTGTAGAGTAGGTTTCCTTCTGTAGTAACACTGGAACAGTAAGGAATGCCCCAAAACACTGGGCTTCTAGGAAGAACAGTTTAGACCCGATAGAGCGGTAGTTACAAATCAATGGATGATCCCAGCTATAGACTAAATTTTGATCTCGGCAAGAAGAACAAAATACATCACCACAGCTAGAAAGAGCGTGTTAAAAGTAGTACAATTGCAAAGTTTGGCCGCGAAATGTTGTAAAATGCGGAAAATATAGCGCTGCGAAATTTGCAAATTTTGTACTAATTTGTATTACCCACGGAAAAATGCCCCACATTTGGGTACATTTTACAAGATTTCGCAACCAAACTTTGCAATTTTACTCATTTTAACATGCTCTTTCTAGCTGTGGTGATGGATTTTGTTCTTCTTGCCTAGATCAAAATTTAGTCTATAACTCGAATCATGCATTGCAATTCCTTTCAGCAAAACAACTTGAGAAAGGCGATATCATCCTCCCGACATTACTGGATGAGTTTCCATTCCTCCATCTCTCACCGCACACGCTGCAAACCATGAGACGGAAACAGACACAGCAGCTGACGAGTCTCTCCAAGACAGCGCAAGCTGATAAACGACAGACTAAAACACAGAAGGTGATCGAAGACGCAGAGAAACGACAGGAAACATTGCTGAAAATACTTCGCAAGGATCTGCAGCACAACCAGAGAATGGTATGGTTGGAAACTCATAGAACAGCCACGCCATATTTGCATTATGGACAAAATTTTGATCTAAACAAGTCTTGACAAAAATTTCATCACAGCTTGAAAGAGCATCACAAAATTAGTAATATTCCGAAGTTTCGTTGCGAAATGTTGTAAAATGTGGATAATATAGTCCTGCGAAGTTTGCCGTTTTTCAGTCATTTTGCATTACGCACGGGAAATTGACAGCCCAATACCCTTTGGGGCTGTCAACTTCCCGTTTGTAATACAAAATGACTGAAAAACGGCAAACTTCGCAAGGCTATATTATCCGCAGACCGCAATTTACAACATTTCGCAACGAAACTTTGGAATATTACTAATTTTGTGATGCTTCTTTCAAGCTGTGATGAAATTTTTGTGTAGACTTGTTGAGATCAAAATTTTGTCTATAATGCAAATGGTCCATTCGTCATCAAAATGCACTCTCCATGTTCCTAGCACAGATTAAGTATGACCAGATGTGTAACTTTATAGGACTTCGTGTCCTCAAATTTCCCTAGATGTACACGTCATGCTCACGCCATGACACTTGCTAGACAATTAAAGTTGTTGAAAATGTGTTGAAAGCAAGACGTATCACCAAATGACGCGGAATTATCACACAAGCGACACTTGCTAGGAAGATGGCGACCCACCGTGGGACAACTTTTTTACTGAAGTTACGCATCTGTCTATACGTAATCTGTGTCCTAGGGGTGAATCCTCAGGGTGTTAGCCAGAAAAAAAGTTTTGACCGATCAAAGTCCTTGTGTAGGAATAAATAGTGGTTTTTTTCCAACGTGTTTCTCCTTAGATGCAAACAACGGTAGCTTGGTTTTGTACATTTTATTTCCGGTGAATGAACGAACACTGAAAATGCACCCGATGGTACTTCGTTTTGTATATTTCATTTCCGGTGAATGAACACGGATGCACACCGATTACACTTTGTTTTGTACATTTCATTTCAGTGAATACACACCCAATATGAATGAAACGCGATGCATTTTGAGAAAATAGTTAATGGGGAAAAGTAAATAAAACGTTCTTTGATATAATAATATAAAATCAAACGCAATGCACTTTCTCATCAGAAAAAATGAAAATCTTCCAGTAGACCCAGTTGGGAAAGCTACTTCAATTGGGAAGAGTACGTCAAACGGACAGTATATGGGCTAGCTAACACCCTGATCCTCTCATACTAAAGTGCACTGGCTATGACCATGGCGACAGCATTGCAACGGTTACGTCAAAATCATAGGCGTCTTCTTTTACGTGTTTATCCTGTGGCAATGTCCTCAACAACAATTCTATTATCTAGCATGAACAAAAAGAGAGAAACGAGCAAGATCGTGCGATAAAGTCGAAACTGCGTGAAAAACGTCATGCAACAGCGCGAGCACGCAGATATTACGAAGATTACCAGTTGCGAATGAGAGCAAGAATGTTGAAACGACGTACGCGAGAAGAACAGATTTTCAAGAATTTATTTGAAGACGGTTTGGAAATTCAAAAACAACGTGTACATGAATTGCGTACGTACGCGAAGGAGCAACGGGAAAAGAGAGCCGTAAGACAACAGAACGAGTTGGAGTCATTGGAAAACTAGTATCCTTTATTATTATGGAATGGACCTTTCCCCTTATAACTAAAATTTTGATCTAGACAAAAATTTCATCACAGCTTGAAAGAGCATCACAGAATTAGTAATATTCCAAAGTTTCGTTGCGAAATGTTGTAAAATGCGGATAATATAGCTTTGCGAAGTGCGCAATCGGGTGTTGGTGCTTCAATTTCCCGTTTGTAATACAAAATGACTGAAAATTGCAAATTTTGCAGGGCTATATTATCCGCATTTTACAACATTTCGCAACGAAACTTTAGAATATTACTAATTTTGTGATGCTGTTTCAAGCTGTGAAGAAAGTCTTTAAATTCTTAAGTGAGTATTTGATTATACGATTTCCTAGCTAATAAAATAGATTGATTGAAGCAAGATTTTCGCAAATATCGACGAAAAGGCACATTTTAGGATGTGATTTGACGGGACTAATTACTGGGTAAAAATGGTGCTTACATTCGCAATTTTTCGACAGCTGATTGCTCTAGTCAAAGATATTTTCTGCCTATTTTCAAAGACTTTTCACAGACCTTTGTCTTTGAAAAGTCTTTGAAAATAGGCAGAAAATATCTTTGAAAGTCTTTGAAATTGTTTGGTCAGGGAGACTACGAACCCTGACATAATTTTTTTTAATTACACCTTTTGGGGGGCCCCTTTTGCAAATTTTTGGGGCCACTTTAATTGGTGGCCCGGGGCAAATCCCCCCCCCCCCTGGGAGGCCCTGCTGACCATGTTATAAAAATTGCGGTTTGTTTACCTTAACGACAATGTGTACAGTTATCGTGATCAGTATTCTATTCTAGCGGAGGCAATCGCTCAAGAAAAGGAAACTCTATTGGTCCGGGAGAAAGCCCAAGAGAAGGTATAATTCCTACAGTTGCCTGTTTATAATTTCGCTTCCGTGCCATCTGAGAATTAAACACTCTGATTTCCTCTTGTAGTAACACTGGATCAATAAGAGATGACTCTTACTGGACCTCTAGGGAGAACAGTTTAGAACTGATAGAGCTATCCAGTATAAATAAAGTTAGTTTAGTGTAGGTTTCCTCCTGTAGTAACACCGGATCAATAAAAGATGACTCTTACTGGACCTCTAGGAAGAACAGTTTAGAACTGATAGAGATAAACAATATAAAAAAAGTTAGTTTAGTTTAGGTTTCCTCCTGTAGTAATACTTGGATGAAGAAGAGATTATCCTTCTGGGCTTCTGGGAAGAACAGTTCAGAACTGATAGAGCTATCCAGTATAAATAAAGTTACTTTAGTTAAGGTTTCCTCCTGTAGTAACATTGGAACAATAAGAGATTTCCCCCTTACTGGCCTTTTAGGGAGAACAATAATTGATCAATATATTTCCCTCAGGTAATTCATCAAATGCAGCGCAACCTCCGTACAAAGCTTCAAAACGAAGTCACTGAAATACAAGAGACTCTCGTACGTGACGAAGATGACGCGTATTTCCGACGACTGGACGCCGAAAGACTCCGACGGCAGTTGCAGATGACGGCATTTCAAAATCTCACCTGAGACGCCATGGTGAAGACAAGATGCAGACAGCTTTTGCAGGTACAGATGAACGTAAAACCGTAAGTAATGGTGTGTGTATTCTGTGTGCGTGGAAAATCTCGAGAACTATGGGCATGGGTTTCGAGAACTGACTACAACTTATGATCACAATGATAAAATAATATACAATATACAAATATGGCGATAATTCAAGCTTGAAATATTGAAGCTATATACAATATCTTATGCCTTAGAATAAGGCGCGTCAATCTCAATATCTTACAATAAGGCGCGTCTCATGCAGCGTCATCATTGATCAAACAAGTTTTCAATTGTACTGTGCTTGTCATGCAAAATTACAACATTATTGGCCTACTTATGGATTCTAACACACAAGCATAAAATGTTGCGCTCACGTCTTCTCTAAGGCGATAATTCAAGCTTGAAATATTGAAGCTATATACAATATCTTATGCCTTAGAATAAGGCGCGTCAATCTCAATATCTTACAATAAGGCGCGTCTCATGCAGCGTCATCATTGATCAAACAAGTTTTCAATTGTACTGTGCTTGTCATGCAAAATTACAACATTATTGGCCTACTTATGGATTCTAACACACAAGCATAAAATGTTGCGCTCACGTCTTCTCTAAGGCGATAATTCAAGCTTGAAATATTGAAGCTATATACAATATCTTATGCCTTAGAATAAGGCGCGTCAATCTCAATATCTTACAATAAGGCGCGTCTCATGCAGCGTCATCATTGATCAAACAAGTTTTCAATTGTACTGTGCTTGTCATGCAAAATTACAACATTATTGGCCTACTTATGGATTCTAACACACAAGCATAAAATGTTGCGCTCACGTCTTCTCTAAGGCGATAATTCAAGCTTGAAATATTGAAGCTATATACAATATCTTATGCCTTAGAATAAGGCGCGTCAATCTCAATATCTTACAATAAGGCGCGTCTC